ACACACACACACACACACACATACACACACCACCACCACCACCACCAGAAATTCCTAGGCCCACTACTGTGTCTTTTTTGCTTTTTTCTGTCACTTCCACCTGTCATGGCATATCTTAACCATTTTCTTCTTTAAAGTTTTCATTACATGCCTGCTGGGAGGTGGTGGTGCAGGCCTCTAATCCCAGCAAGTTCCAGGACCCTCAGGGCTATTACACAGAGAAACCTTGTCTCAAAAGAAAAAAATTACTGCATTTTTATTTAGTGAATGCAGTGTGTGTGTGTGTTTGAGGACCCCCTTGGTCAGTTCACTGTGTGGGTCCTGGGATGGACCTTGGGTTGTCATGCTTCTTTACCCATGAGCCATTTCTTCTCACGGCTCTAACCCGTTTTGAACAAACAAACAAACAAAAAAAAAAAACCCCACAATTTACAAAAGAGCATGTGCATGTAATCTATGTGGGACTCCCCAGATTTGACTCTTAAATTTTATTTTTTGTTTTTATGTTTTTGTTTTTCCAGACAGGGTCTCACTATGTAGCTGTGGCTGTCCTGGAATTCACTGTGTAGACCAGGCTGACTTTGAATTCAAAATGATGTGTGACTCCAGGCCAGACTAAAAATCTTTTTTAAAGATTTACTTTTATTATTTTTAATTATGTATAGATAGACGTATGTGTGTGTGTCTTTGTGTGTGTGTGTGTGTGTGTGTGTGTGTGCAGCATTGGATCCCTGAATGGAACTGAGGTTACAGATGATTATGAGCCTCTGTGTGGGTGCTAAGAATTGAACCTGGGCCCTCAAAAAGAGAGCAGCAAGTGCTTTTTAATTGCTGAGCCATCTCTCTGACCCTCTAAAAAGTATTTTGTAGTTATTTTGAGTATATTTACTTAGTGTGTGTATACGCATGTGTGCCATGGTGCAGGCGTGGAAACCAGAGTTGGTTCTCTCCTTTCACCTTGTCGGTCTTGGGGATCAAACTTAGGTCACCCACTGAGCCTTAAAGCTTTTTGTGGGGCTGGGGTGTAGCTCATTTGTATCAGTTACAAACCCTGCATAGTCTGGGTTGGTAGTACAAGTTTGAGGCTAGCCTGGGGTACCCAAGACCCTGTCTCAAATATTTAGATATCTACTTATGTGTATATATTTTTATACAATACTTGTTTTTTCTAAATAGGAATAATTCTTGGGCCCACGAGATGGCTCAGTAGATAAAGTGCTGTCCAAACCGGAGACCCTCAGTTTAATCCCTAGAATGTAAAAGTGGAAAGAGAGCACTGACTCCTGAACGTTGTCCTCTTGATTTCTGCCTGGGCACTGTGTTACGTCTGTGTGTGTGCAGACATACCCCACAATGATATTTTTTATTAAAAATACTGCTCTCATTAGCTTTTTGTTTGTGTTTAAGTTCTGGGATGACGGGGGGGGGCTGGAGAGAGGAGTCAGAGCAGGACATCTGCCATCTGCCTGTGACTCCAGCGCACACCTGGCATCCACACATGTGCACAGATAAAAATCACAGTTTTAGTGTTACAACCATGCCTGGCTTATGTGGTGCTGGGGTGCTAAACAAGCACTCTGAGCAATGAGCTAGGTCTCCTCCAGTCATTCTCACTAAAGATATTAATGGTTTCTAGCCTGTCACGGTGGTGTACCCTTTCATGTAGCACTTGGAGGCAGAAGCAATTGGATCTCCAAGTTTGAGGCCAGTCTGATCTACAGAGCAGGTCTCAGGATAGACAGAGCTACACAAAGAAACTTGTCTTGAAAAACCAATAACTAAATAGAGAAATTAACGAATTAATGATCTCTTCCATCTCTCCTACCAGTTATCCCTCTTAATGTAAGGAGCATCACAGCCCTGCTGTGTGTCCTTCCATATTTTTCTCTTTGTCTCTAAACACAGGCTGCATGGACCATTAAGTCCTCCCCTCGTCTCAACAAGAATGGGACCAAACAATACCCCAGTGGTTCTTAGGTATCCGAAGCCCCTTGGGGGTCCCCAGCCCCTTTTTCACTGGGTTGATTGTGCACTGGTGGTGTAAAGACACGTGGGCAGGGCTGCTAGACCAGCACCAGTGCACCTTCGTCATTGCACACGTCCCACAAGAGGGCCTGGTCCCACGTTACACGATGAAAACGACGTATTTATAAACCCGTCTTCAGTGCATGACTTTCCCTGACTGAGGGGGGGCAGGGGTGACCCAGCTCTGCCACACAGGAGAGCAGGTGTTGCCTGCAGGAGGAACCCCTGCTGAGTGCAAGCTAAGCAGGGCGCCCTGTTCCCTGAGAGGACTTAGAAGGGTTCTAGAAGTGAAGAGATCTGACAGTCACTTTCCCGTCAGAAAATGTCTCTGTGAGTGTGCATGCGTTGTTCGGCCACCTGGTGCAGTGGTGGTGGCGGTGGCGGTGGTGCACGCCCTTAATCCCAGTACTCGGGAGGCATAAGAGGTGGATCTAAGTTCGAGGCCAGCCTGTTCTACAGAGTGAGTTCCAGGACAGCCAGGGGTACAAAGAGAGACCCTGTCTCAAAAAAACAAAAATAAATTAATAAATACAAGCCTGTGGCTTCAAGTAAAACAATGTTCACTGTTTGTTGCTAATAATAAAATTCATTTTTTAAATGTGCATTGGTGTTTTACTTACATGTATGTCTGTGTGAGGGTGCCGGATCCCCTGGAACTGGAGTCACAGACAGTTGTGAGCTGCCATGTAGGTGCTGGGAATTGAACCTGGGTCCTCTGGGAGAGCAGCCAGTCTTAACCACTGAGCCATCTTTCCAGCTCTGTAAAATTCAAACCTTGAAGTAAAAATTGAAAAGCTTTTGTCTTCTCCAGTGAACTGGCAAACAACTTCCTAATAGCTAAGACTTTTCTAGGAGCTGGGGATGTGGCTCAGCAGGCTCTCATTGCTCTTCCAGAGGACCTGGCTGGTTCTCAGCACACCCACATCCAGTGGACCACAACTAACCACCTGTAACCTCAGCCCCAAGGCACTCATGTGCCCCCACACACATATTACAAAAATAAATAAATAAAAATAAGATTTTTCTAAAGAAATAAATACTACTTCTTACTATTGCATAAAGAAATGGATACTATAACAAAGTAAGAGTAACCGGGCAGTGCACAACTTTAATCCCAGCCCTCGGGAGGCAGAGGCAGGCGGATCTCCGTGAGTTTGAGGCCAGATTGGTCTACAGAGCGAGATCCAGGACAGGCTCCAAAGCTACACAGGGAAACCCTGTCTCAAACACGCACACACACACACACACAGTAAGAGTACAAGTGAGTCTGTAGGCTAACTTGGAGAATACTTGTTTGTTTTGAGATAACCTCTTCTGTCCTGAGCTGTCCTCACACCCCCTGTGTGGCTGGCGCTGGCCTTGAACTTTTCCCTCCTGCTTCAGCCTAAAGCGTGCTGGAGTTACGGTGTGAATCACAACTTCCATGTTGTAGAATATTATTTGAAAATGTGTTACATTCATTTATGCTGTGGTATATTCGTTTAATGATGCAAAGACATACTACATTTGTTTGATTAAAATTAACCTGGGGTCATTAGCTAGCTGACAGGAAGTGGTAGGGAGGAACCATGTGTAGCCAGGGTTCTTAAGCTGGTGCTGAGCAAAAGGACACCTGTTCTGGGGGAGACCCGAACTAGGAGGGGAGGTCAGCTACTTGTCATTCAGCCTTGAGTGAGCAGAATTTCACCTCAGCCTTTGAATCCTGAGTTCTGTAGAGGGATGGAGATCTAGATAGAGTTCCCTTTAGCTGCCATGGCAGAGCTGGTGCCTGAGGGAACAGAATTCCCGCCTGGCTATGGCCAGGGCAGCCTAACCACTGCCAAGTTGCAAGTGCTGATTTAGGAGAGCAGTTAAGGGGCAGCTACTGAACTTAGTGAGAAACAGCATTTCCACTTAGTAAACTATGAACACTTCCAGTACCACTACTGAATATTTATTAATTCATATCTAACTTTTTTTCTTTTTACCCACAGCGCGGTGTTCCGTGGTATATATGAACCAAGGCCACATGTTGTTGGCTTTTTAGATTGCTTTCAGCTTTTGACTAATTTAAACATGTGGAGGCTGGAGAGATGGTTCAGTGGTTAAGAGCGTGTGCTGCTTTTCCAAAGAATCCAAGTTCAGTTCCCAGACCCACACTGGGCGGGCAGCTCACAACCACCTGCAACTCCAGCTCCAGATAATTCAGCACACTCACGTAGAGACACATGCACGTAAATAATAAAAATAAAAGTTAGTGTATGAACAAGTGTCCTCTACATCCACATGTTCTGGTGGCTTTCTAATCGGGTTTCCTAAAAGTTTTGTCTTCCTCGAAGTTTCTAAATGGAGTTTCTCCTTCATTCTCCCCTGCCCTTTCCCGCACCCCCGCTTGGCCCTTTCTGATCTGGTTCGTTTATGCTTTCGCTGTTTCCTTTGCCCTGTACTTGAAGAATGCCTTCTCTGCCTGGTCTGTCGGCGTACGTTAGTTAAAAAAGAGGGCAAGGAGAGGGTGCCAGGCAATCGGTGGCAGAAGACTGGAGTTGATATGAGGAACGAGCCTGAGCTGGGGTCGTCGGATGCCTGTGACCTTGGCACTCGGGAGGTGGGGTGGGAGGTGGGAGAGCGCAGATCGAGGCCCACCTGGTCTCCATGGTGGCCCCTGTCCTGCACTAGGCGGGTGGAGGGGTGCTGGGGGGGCTGTGCTCACTTACGAACACTTGCCTCGTCTTGGGGAATATTTGAAAACGAGGGACTCTAACCTCAGCTTCATTTCTGTCATTTCAGGCAAGTACATTGCCTCCACACAGAGACCCGACGGGACCTGGCGCAAGCAGCGGAGGGTCAAAGAGGGATACGTGCCCCAGGAGGAGGTTCCAGTGTGCGTGCGTGGTTAGGCTGACGGGGGTTTAGGGGGTCCCCGCACAAGTACTGTGCCTTCGAGGGCAGGGGTGACTCGCCCGAGCCCCAAGCAAGTGGAAGGAGAGGAAGGAGCTGGGATTGAGGGGTGAGTGAGGGTCCCCAGCCAGCTGCCTTTGACCTGTTCTTCAGGACCTCTGGACGGCAAGCAGTCCTTTAGAGAGCGAGCCAGAGCTGTGAGTTCTAGAACCCTCCTCAAGCCGAGGGAGCCCCAAGGGCAGAGGAGATGGGATGGAATGGGAGGAAGTGAGGTGGGCGACCCGGGAGGGAGCCGGCCGCATCCGGAAGCTCAAGCTCTCTGTTTCCTGCAGCTATGAAAACAAGTACGTGAAGTTCTTCAAGAGTAAACCGGAACTGCCCCCGGGGCTGAGCCCTGAGGCCACCACTCCGGCCACGCCCTGCAGACCCGAGGGCGGTGAAGCCGGCCTCTCCAAGACCGCCAAACGCAACCTGAAGCGCAAGGAGAAGCGGCGGCAGCAGCAGGAGAAGGAGGCCGAGGCCGTGAGCAGGACTCTGGATAAGCTGTCTCTGGGAGACGCGGCCCAAACGCCCGGTGCCCTCCAAGGCTGCCAGGCCGCCCCTCCAGCTGCCTCGGATGCAGCCGACGCTGCTGCCACCACAGAGAAAGCCAAGAAGATCAAGAACCTGAGGAAGAAGCTGCGGCAGGTGGAGGAGCTGCAGCAGCGCATCCAGGCCGGCGAGGTCAGCCAGCCCAGCCGAGAGCAGCTGGAGAAGCTGGCCCGGCGGAGGGCCCTGGAGGAGGAGCTGGAGGACTTGGAGCGGGGCCTGTGAGCCCCGGGGATGAACTGCAGAATAAATAAACCATGGGGTGCTCTGGGCTCCGGGCACGTGGGCCGCGTGTGGGCGCGGCAGTCAGGGGGGCGCCCCTTCCTGGCTCACTTCACCTGCGGCCCCCTCCATCCTCCAGAGCCCTAGGCTCCCCTCCATTCCTTCCCTTCTGCCCAGCTCCTGTTTTTGGACTTTCCCCTCCCATTCCCAGTGTTCAGATTCTCGGTGACCACCCTGGGTACCTCTGCTGCTGATCTGGGTGTCTTGTTGAAAAGAAAACCGGGGGGTGGGAGTCTGAGAGCTGGGGTTGGGGTACAGGAGTACCCCAAGTCTTGGAGTCTTTGTTCCTGTTCAGTGTTTGAGTTACCCCCATGGCCTCCCTAAACCTCTTTTTTTTAAAGAAAGTAAGAATAAATTCGAGTAGACAACACGTGGTCAGGCTTTGGCTCTGTTCTCAACTCGGGTTTGCCAGTTAGGTGAAAGAAGACACTTAAGTTCAAATGTTTTCATGGTGCTAGGGATTGAACCCAGGGCCTTGCACACAGCAGCTCTGCCACTGGTCTATAGCCCTGGCCCCTTACTTTTTGAGTGCAGCTGGCCTTGGTAGTGAACACCTGTAATAAATAGTTCTCTGTCGGCAGAGACAGAATTGACAGCATTTCAAGGCCAACCTGGGCTACAGGGTAAGACTATCTCAACAAAGAGAAAGTAATGTACGACAAAGTCAGACCTCAGTAAGCAGAAGTTAGTGTTGTTATCCAGTGAAATTTTTAGAACAAAAGTAACTTGACATATTAATGTATGTGTTGTTGTACCACGAGGCAGTGAGTCCGTTGTTCCTTCTTCACTGCTTTTGAAGTTAATTGTGATTTACTTTGAATGCCTAGAGTAGCTCTTGAAATTTTGCCTTGGATGCTGCCTAAAATGACACCTGTTGGAGTCCAGCCCTGACTGTCCAAGGGTCCTTGAAGTGGGGCAGTGAGGAATTGAGAAATGCTAGTTAGGAAAAAATATAGACCTAGATGAAAAAGACACAGGATAGCTTTGGGAGGGCCCTGGGTCAATACTCAGTCGCCTCGAGTTTATTCCTATTGGGCTTTTTATACTAGCAAAGGAAGAGACAAGAGACCACCCCCTCTCAAGATCAAAGTACAAACAAGTGTAGACTTTAATTCTCTAAACACCTGGTAACACCTTACGGCAAAGCGTCTTGTAATTAGGCCTTGAAGCATAAGGCACCTGGTAACCATGCCGTTGGCCAAAACATCCTACTGTGCAGCTTTATGGGGCAAAGCAAACTCGGACTCAGACCCTGAGTCAAAATGGAAACAAACCACAAGTTGGAATCTTTGTCGGCTCCCAGAGACACCAGGGCAAAGTAATGATGTGTCCAGACACCGCCAAGATCTGCCATTCAGTTCTGGTTTTACCCATGCTGCACCTTTGGTTATAGAAAAGTGGAAGAAAAAGAGAGGCCTCAGCCAAGCTCAGCCCTCAGGAGCTCCGAAGTCCCACAGAAACCAACCCTGTTGAATCCTGGCCCTCTCCCAATCTTTTCTTAGCTTTTGGATCTTTGGGAATCTTTCTCTTACCGGTCCCCTCACCCTAAATGTTAGCTAAGCTACCCATCTCGTGTGTGTGTGTGTGTGTGTGTGTGTGTGTGTGTGTGTGTGTGTGTGTGCATGTGTGCACATGTCCATGTCTGTGTGCCCATGGTAGTGCACAAATGTGTTTTTTGAGGACCTGGGGCTCGGTGACTGGCTGGTAAGTCCCAGGGCTCCATCTGTCTCTGACTCCTTAGATGGGCTCCCCTGCCTCTCCTAGGGGTGAACTCAGGGCCTCATGCTTGCATTTTACCAACTGAGTTATCGTCCCTACCTGTAATGATGACGTCAGACTAATATGCCTGTTTCATTCTCAACCACCCTGCATTAGACCATGGGCTCCTCCAGCTCCTAAACTAGTTGGTTAGATTGAGACAGGATCTCTGTGTAACCTTGGCTGGCTTGGAACTGGGGTTCACTGGGCAGACCAGGCTGTGATCCTCTTGCATCTACTTCCCTCAGTGCTGGGATTATAGGTGTGGGCTACTGTATCCCTAGAGCCTAACAGTTAAATTCTCAAATATCCAACTGAAATAAGGCTTTGAACCATGCATAGAAAAGAACACAGCTAATAATCAATACTTGACTGGGACCAATAAGAAACCAAAAGCCTGAGTTCCCTTTTGCAGGAACACAACAATGACTTTATACGTAGTTTCTGATACCTTACGTGTGTGGTATACATACACATCATCCATGTATAAGTTCCTGAAGGGTGTGGGAGAGCATGAAGGTGGGCAGAGTGCTTACCTGGTGTGTACGAAGCCCTGCGTGTAATCCCCACAACAATACAAAACAGCAAGACGGCACCAGCACGCTGAGAGCAGAGGCAAGAGGATTACAAGTTAAGGACATCTTCATTCAGGGCAATACCTGAGTATTCACTGCTAATGTGAGACTTCTTTTTTTTGTTTGTTTTTTTGTTTTTTCGAGACAGAGTTTCTCTGTGTAGTTTTGGTGCCTGTCCTGGATCTCACTCTGTAGACCAGGCTGGCCTCGAACTCACAGAGATCCGCCTCTGCCTCCCTAGTGCTGGGACTAAAGGTGTGCACCACCACCGCCCCAGCTGAGACAAATTTTTTGAGAGAGTAAAGGTTGTCTCTAAGGAGACACATCTACTTTGCAGGATTCCTGGGTGTAGTAATCTGCCTGACGCCGCCACCCCCCACTCCCCCTCCCACCCCCAGTGCTCGGTAGTTTTATGTCAGCTTGACACAAGCTTAAGTCCCCTGAGAGGAGGGGACCTCAAGAAAATGCCTCTATAAAATCAGGCTGTTGGCAGGCCTTTGGGCATTTTCTTAATGGATGGTGCTTTCCTTGGGCTGGTGGTCCTGGGTTCTACAAGAAAGGAGGCACCGGACGGTGGTGGTGTACGCCTTTAATCCCAACACTCAGGAGGCAGAGCCAGGCAGATCTCTGTGAGTTCGAGGCCAGCCTGGTCTCCAAAGCCAGTTCCAGGAAAGGCGCAAAGCTACACAGAGAAACCCT